CTGTTTCGCTGTATCAACAGTGTGGCTAGACATCCGATTGTTTCAAGCAGGATCGACACCGACCTAATTCATGGTGTATGTTGCTGTATCTGCTAATAATATCAAAAGTTGTATCACTTTGTATCACAATACATCTATTCATGTAACCAGGGTGAATTTAAAATTAAGCCAATGTACCAAACAGGTAAATTACTCTTACCAAATAAATTCATGAAAAAAAAACTTCATAAACGAATTTTAATAAATCTATTTAAACTCGGTGGGTAAAAAACACTGGACAGCACAATTTTCAAATAAATTGGCATCCGAAGAAAAATGGAAACAAAAAGAAGTATCAGAAACCCACCAACAGGGCGAAAGAAATCGTTCAGTGGCTTTTCTCTGGTACAAAGAAAAAAAACCCAGCGAGTAATAGGTTTAAACCAGTGGATCTCAACCTTTTTTTACCCATGGACCCCTTTCCCCTTCTTTTTATCTTGGTGGACCCCTTCATAGCTATTGGACATAAGAACAATTTTCTATTCTTCACTAATATAAATTTTAAGGTTTTAATTATCAAAGAAATAGTATACGATTAAGCTTTATTTTTAAATGAAAACTAATTTAATACAAATAAAATATTCTACTATAATTATAATAATAATTATTATTACTATTTTTAATTAACACAACAATTGAGTTTTGCCTGTGGACCCCCGGAAATATTACATGGACCCCTAGGGTCCATGTAGACCCCGGTTGAGAACCACTGGTTTAAACGAAGAGTGCTCAATACACTAAGTAGAGCAAAAGTAAACCCTTATGGTCCCATGTGGTGTAACTAGGTAGGTAGTATCTGGCTCATTAAGATTTATATATATATATATATATATATATATATATATATATATATATATATATATATGCATACATATGTATACACACTCAAACACGTAATTTTAAAGTCTTAGACTTGTTTTTAAAATCTGCATATTCATTATTCCAAACGGATTTTAACTTATACCTTGCTTGAAATAGACGCCCCCATTCGTTTTTATTTTGAACAGTGTCTATCGGCCTGTGCATACATATATAATCTGTATGCACCAGGTATTCGAGAAGCCATCTTTCCCTGGCCATAATTGTACGACTTAACGTAATGTTTCACACGATACACGAAATTTTGACATTATAATTTCTCTTTCATACGGGCAATCATTAACATTTCAACTTCTATTCTCGTGCATGAAAATGAAAAGATAAGTAAGCACTAGTCGCCAACAGCCGTCACCAGTTTCTTCAAATAAAATGAACGAATATCAAATCGCACTGCGCGTTGTTAGATGTACCCACGAAGATGCACTCCAATTTCTCGTCGTCTGTTATATTCCCGTGTGCTCTGAGCAACGGAGGTCACGATCTATGACCAAATTCTTCCTCAGGGACAATGCCAACACCCACATCGGCTAGTCGGACACGGTGTTAAGCCTGAGATTAAACGACAAGCTATATGTCTTCCTCTAGGTATCTTCTCGTAACCTAGAAATGACTGGCTGAGTTTTTTCAGGATCACATTCTCCGGTCTCTTTACACTTGAATCTCATATATTATTACGTTTGGAACGGCATCAAGGAGACCAGTCAGCAGTCACACAGTACCAAGAGATCGTCCAAAGGCGCTATCTGGGAACTGGTATACAACATGAATGAAAACCACTTGATTCGGGTACGCAATTGCTTCTGTGCCTGCATCTAGACCATGGCCAAGTGTGGTTTTATTGAATGAATATCTCTCTCTCTCTCTCTCTCTCTCTCTCTCTCTCTCTCTCTCTCTCTCAATTTGGATAATGCACAATTTTTGAATAAAATATTTTCTTTTTTAAAATCCTTCGAGATGCAAACCACGAAATAGAAGGAATTCTCCCCTGATGGCCCCGAGCACCTTCTGGTAGCCGATAGACGAACTCTTCGCTTGGTAGCACTTGCAGTAGGAAGTTGTTTCCAATTAATAATTTAAAAAAAAATTATATTTGTTTTTCTTAATATCTTAATTTGTTGTTAATTTTCTGACGCATACTCTTTCCCTATATCTCCTCACATACACACATGTGTGTGTGTGTGTATGTATGTATGTATATATATATAAATAAATATATATATATGTGTATGTATGTATGTATGTATGTATGTATTTAAAAAAATTACGTATAATATTTATGAAGCTCATATGCGATTCCTATCTTTTTTTTATCTTTTTTTTATTTTGTAATCTACTCAGTTTTCTTTCTTTATCGCTAAAAAGAAATATTTCAGAATCTTTTTTAAATATTGTTTTATTATGGGGCGAAATAGAAAAATTATTATTCCAATTTCCAATATTACAATCTGCAAATTAAAGTTATAATATTTACGTAATAACTATCTACATAATAATAATAATAATAATAATAATAATAATAATAATAACAAAACCTATTTGAAAAAATACAATCCATAAATTGTGTAGTTACCGTATTTGCTGGTTGTATAGGACGCACCACAGCAATTTCGTTCCTGCTTTATAACGAATTTAAAAAAAAAACATATTTAATATGAACAATTTTAATTGACAAAACCTTCTCTATTTTCTATTATCCTAGACCACTTTTATTTTTTTACGCAAAATGTGTGTCTTATACACCGGCAAATACTTTTTCTCTCTCTATTTATCATTATTTGTGGGTGTGTTGGTTAAATGTTAGGAGGTTTATTTTACTTAAAACCAAAAAAAAAAAAATTATTTTTTTTTTCGGTTGTCAATTAGGCTAAGTTTTCATTCACTATATATTTTAATTCATTATATATTTTTGTTCCAACGATAAATTTTAACAATATTTTAAACCAAATCCCATATATTTATTGATAAACATAACAGGTTTGTCTTAAAAATATATATATCAATACCCATCAATACCAATCGACTATTTAGTCTGAATAAGTAATAAAAATGAAATAATCAATAATAATATTAATAATAACAATAACAAAAATAACAGTAATACTTCAATCAAAGCTATGATGATGATTATAATAATAATAATAATAATAATAATAATAATAATAATAATAAACAGAATGATCCACGTAACTCTGCCAATATTTTGAAACGTTTAGAGAAGAACGCGATTTAAGACAAACAAAAGAAAAAAAACAGTGTTTAACAATATTCAACAATATTCCGATAGTATTCATCAAATTATGTTTAAAAATTGCATACAATTATAAAAATATAAAAACGTTTACAAAAAATTACGAGTCTTTGTACAAAGATTGCTTGTCTAGAGAAAAACGGTTGTAATGGTAATCAAGGCGTCAAAACGAATGAAATCCGGCCAGCGTGAATGTCATTCAACTGAAACGTAACATGATGGTGAGCGTGCTCATCTTGAAATTTCCAGTTTGTAAAAGAAATTAGTTAAACAGTTTAGTATTATAAGATGGAAGAGCTCCATAGGTATATACTAAAGTGCTTGAGTAATTCCTTTTACTAACTAATCAACCAACAAAAATTTCACTGTGACCACGATCGGCATCATGTTACGTTTCATTTACATGTCATTAACGCTGGCTGGCTTTCATTTGTTTTGACGTGTTGATTACCAGTACAATTTTTTTTTTCAATACAAGTGTCATTTGTCGAAAGACTTGAAATTTTTTGTAGATTTTTTTTTCATATTTGTGTGCTTGTATGCAATCTTTTAACAAACCTCAAAATATTGTTGAACATTGTTAAATACTGTATTCTCTTTTTCTTTTCTTAAATCGCGCTCTTCACTAAATTCTAATAATAATAATAATGATTGATGATCATAATATATTATGATACGAAAGAATAATTTGGTAGCAATGGTATTGCAATAATTAGTTCAATATCAGTGTCGTGATTAGCTTATATTACTAATTTTAATTAGTAATAAATCTTCATTATTGAGAGGGAAAATCCACATGTAGCTCCCAGTTACAGCTTCGGAAGGTAACGGATTCTCTTGAATTTCTGATTTAATGATATGGAATAGATTTCTTCTGTTTCACTTTCTAAAATCAGACTTTCTTTCTTTCTTTCTTTCTTTCTTTCTTTCTTTCTTTCTTTCTTTCTTTCACACTTTACTTTCTTCGTTCAGTTTCGTTCTTTCAACCATGTGAACGACTCGAAAGATTATTTGATTCGATTAAAAAAAAATGTTCAAAATCATATGAACCGGAGGACAGACACCAATCAGAACAGTGTGATTGTGTTTTATTTTGTTTGATTTACGTTTTTACATAGAATTCAGGAGAAATATTTGTATAGTTTTTTTTTTTAAACTTTTCAGATGACGTATTATCATGATTATACACTGGTTTGCTCAGGATTAGTGGCGATGAAAACGAAGTTGAAACGTTGCAACTATGACAACAACAAAGAGAACACGAGTCCTAGCAAATCAGATTAATGTATCTATTTGTGTGTGCACACACACACACACACACACACACACACACACACACACACACACACACACACACACACACACACACACATATATATATATATATATATATATATATATATATATATATATATATATATATATATATATATATGATGCTAAGTCAATAATTGCTCATCGCCATAATCTATCTTTATATAGGGTGCGGTAATTTTGCCTTCCTCATATGTGTGTGTGTGTGTGCGCGCGCGCGCACGCGCTTTACAATAGGTGCGCAAACACACACAGAGCTACATCATCTACACATGACCGCGTGCGTACATGCACACACACGCACACACAAATTTGCTCATATGTAGAACACGTGTCCGTATCGACGCGTATAATTAAATGAAGAAAAATAAGTATATATCCCTATAGCTTTACCACATACATATATGCACACAGAAATTCAACACCCACACTATCCATCTATCTCAGTCTGTTAAGTATCTATCTTAGTCTGATATATATATATATATATATCTTTGTGTATGTATGTATGTATGTATGCATGTATGCATTTATCTATCTATCTATCTATCTATCTATCTATCTATCTATCTATCTATCTATCTCAGGCTGTTCATTATCTATCTATCTATCTATCTATTTTTGCCTTTTCATATCTATGTATGTCAGTTTTTTTATGTCTATCTATCTATCTATCTATCTATCTATCTATCTATCTCAGGCTGTTCATTATCTATCTATCTATCTATCTATCTATCTATCTTTGCCTTTTCATATCTATGTATGTCAGTCTTTTTATGTATATCTATCTATCTATCTATCTATCTATCTATCTATGTCAGGCTGTTCATTGTCTATCTATCTATCTATCTATCTATCTATCTATCTATCTATCTATATTTGCCTTTTCATATCTATGTATGTCAGTTTTTTTATGTCTATCTATCTATCTATCTATCTTTGCCTTTTCATATCTATGTATGTCAGTTTTTTTATGTCTATCTATCTATCTATCTATCTATCTATCTATCTATCTATCTATCTCAGGCTGTTCATTATCTATCTATCTATTCATCTATCTATCTATCTATCTATCTATCTATCTATCTATCTATCCCCGTCTGATAAGTTTCTATCTATCCATCTATCTCAGTCTGTTAAGTATCTATCTTAGTCTGATATATATATATATATATATATATATATATATATCTTTATGTATGTATGTATGTATGTATGTATGCATGTATCTATGTATCTATCTATCTATCTATTCTATCTATCTATCTATCTCCGTCTGACATAGGAATGTATGTGAATTCGTCGAATCTTTGCAATGAATGTTTGCGTGTTTCCTTAAAAAAAAAATTTATATTTTTGCTATGGAGCCGTAGATACTTAAAAAAATGGAGGTATTGCGTTTGAAGAAAACAAGATATTAGTTCATAGGTATATATCTGTAGGCTTGCACTAGCGACTCAGTATTGATTACGAGTGATATATTTTCAGTACACGAATAAACTGTGTCTAAAACAATTTAATCGATCAGTAAAACTCGATCAACAGTTATTTAAAAAATATTTCACCTTCTTGATTTAAATAAGCATTTGAATCTAACTTATGCATAAAAACTCTAAAAATAAAACAAATATTGTTAGAATATATCTATCTTTATGTTATATATATTGTGTTACGTATACAAATAGTTTTATGCGTATATATATATATATATAAATTCTTACATGTATATATAGTTATAAACGTATCTATATAAATATAAGCAGTGTGTACACAGGTATCAACAGTGGCTGGCTACAGTCTATTTCGATTGTTTTTTAAACATGAATCAGACTGTGTCGATACATGTATTCACACTATTTATATTTGCATAATAATAATAACGTCGTTTGTTGTTAAGCAGTTTTCTCTCATAGATATGGTATGCAATAAAATCTATATTTTATTAAATATATATATATATATATATATATATATATATATATATATTCAAACATATTGTTAAATATAACAGACAACGAATGTCTATTATGTTTGATCATGAGCAGTTCTAATATTAGTGTAGTTGTTTTAATTTCGGGTGAAAATTAAGACAAAAATTGTTCAACATTTGGATATATTTTTTATTATCCTCTTGTTTTATTTAAGCTATTCCGCGACCGTTATCGCCGCATAGCAATCTTCTATGTCAACATAATTGGATATCATCTTTGATGGTGAATATCTTTATGTAAATTTTCATATAACCACTCTGAAGATGGCTCATGGGAGCCGAAAGATTAGATCATTAGAGAATAATGAAAAAAATATCCAAATTTTATCTTTATTTTCTCCTGAAATTAACTATATGAAGTTTAGAACGGCTCCTGATCAAACATAATAGACATTCGTTATCTGTTATATGGTTGAATAATGATCTGCTGCCACAATGTAATATATATATATATATATATATATATATATATATATATATATATATATATATATATACAAACACACACACACACACACACACACACACACAATATTACAATTATAATATCTACGTTCACCTAAACGCGAACGCACGTTTCTTTGAGGCTAATCTAACGAAAATATTCAACTTTCGATATGCCTGTCTCGTATTGAAAGTGTATCTATCGTATTACATTAAATCTGCGACTTTCTTTTTTTCTTTCTTTATTTATTTTTCGCCACTACTGGTTTGACTGTTTTTAATGTTAATACGATTGACATTGGACAGCAGTCGGCTTAAAATATGACATGAGAATGTGTGACCTATTTGCAAGATGCTAAGATTGAACACGTCTCGGCCGTCTTACGAAACCTACTTAAAAAATTGTCTCTTTTCGGTTATTTATTGTTAAAATTGTATTCATTGATATTCGTCATTTTATTGTGTAGTTGTTTTTTAATCAAATTATTAATCTTTTTTTTTTAATTATTTTTTAACATGAATGGAAGATAAAATTTACGTTGTTAGTGTTACACACTTTTGTCAACGATGTATCCCGTATTTCAGGATATACAGTAAATATTTTTCCACGATAAAAATGAATTCATTTCGTGTTTCTCGGCAAACACCAATTCCTCACGTGTCTAAAGGATAAAATTTAAATTCTAAACATATATATCTAGTATATAATTATAAATTAGATTCCATGTTTCCTGTTTTTCAAAAGATTAAATTTAGAGAGACTATTGCTTATGTATTTTTTATTATTTAATAAGGGCATTATATCGCCTCAGTCTTTTTTTAAATGTGATATATTTTGACATTGCATACATCTATTTCCTTAGCAGATATTTTTCTCCATATCAAAATGCAAATCGACTATCAACTGGACATTTCTTTCCCACCACCGGTTTATTTTCGTATCTGCAAAATAGAACTATATGGACTCTATTTTATCAGCTTTATTTTGAGTTTAGTGGTGTTTAGTTTGTATTTCATTCCATCGATTGCCTTTATTTTCTATTTCTTTATTACAATTACATTTCTGTGAAATTTTTTCTCTCTTTGTTTTCCTCATTCACGTTCTCTGTTTATTTATTTAAAACAGAGGGTATCGTTCGGTTAACACCGGTAAAAACAACCCTCGTGTTTGATTACAACGCTACCGTGTTTTAATAAGGCACTGATTCTAAGGATTTTGCTCGATTTTCTTTTCATTTTTAATTTTATTTCTGATTTCTTCTTCCTTACTTTTTTTTCTTTATTAATAACGCAGATTTGAATGCAGCACACAGACTTGACAACGCGGCAGACGGCATAAAATTGAATATATTCCGCCTACTTCACCAACCCATTTCAAAAAAAGATGTTGGTCAAGGCTCATTCAATAGAATTATTTTTAGCGGGAGGAATGAGTTTCAGAAAACAAACGCTTATATGAACAACAATAGCAGTAATTTTAATAAAGTTTATTGATAATTAATCGTTACTTCATATCCATTCTCTTTTATCTTTTCCTCTTAGATGAAATAAAATCACCGATTTGCCAGGCACAGACGTATCCATCACGTTTATAACAACTTAATTTACTTGTATTAATTAAACTTTAAAAATAAAATTTCACCCACTAATTTTTTAAAACTTTTATTTAAATATAATATTTTTACAAGTAAATCTTAAATCATGTAGGTATTTATTTATTTTTGTTTTTCCCAAATCCTTGCCTAATGATCTGCGTCATTTGACTTATGCCAAAGAAACGACACGATATATGAAAAATGAAGATTTTTAAGTAACTAACACAGCAAGAAAATAGTAAATAAAAATAAATGTCTGTATACCTTATGTATATATTTGAAAATGCTTCTATGAATTTACATAGATCAACAAATATCTATAAATATACTAGAATGGAAAATGTATAACAACTGCAATAAAGATTTTTTAAAAATGTGTTGAAATGAAATTTACGCATAGTAATAAGTATGCGTATTTTATATATGTCTGTATGCATCTATGTACGTTCGTGTATGAATTGTACGTGAAAATATTTTATAATATATTTGTATATAATATTATAATAATAAATGATGTCTACAAATATTTGTAAAAGTTTTGTTGTTGAGAATAGACAATTTTTGTCTATTATTTTTTAAATAGTTTTTTTTTTTTTAAATGACGGATTGGTATCCGTAGATTAGAAGTGAATGTATGAAAGAACTGTTTAAAGTTCATACCAGTTTGTTTGATATTTCAAGCTTTCGACTGACTTCAGTCCTTGTCAAGAATCAAAGTCCATTTTGCGAGAATCCTAGCAAAAATTCTGATGGCTTTGGTCATTAACTGTTAGACATGATGCAGCGGCTTTTATATATGTATATATTCGATAGATATACCTATATATTCCATATTGTTGCAATTACACCGCTAAGCACAAATTTTCTTTCTTACTTTCTTTCTCTCTCTCTCTCCCCCCACACATACAGACAGACACAGACAGACACACACACACACATATATATATATCTCTGTGCCTGTAGATGTTCGTTTAAATTCCACACATAACATATTTCCTATTACAACTGAAATAAGTACAAAAAATATGAAGAATGAATAGAACAAAAATAGTTATTCTTATTTCGAAGTGGCTATCGATTGTTCATCATATTAATGTATTTAAATTTAAATCCGATAAATATAACCTCATATCTATCTATCTATCTATCTATCTATATATATATATATATATATATATATATATATATATATATATATATATACATATATATATATATATATATGTGTGTGTGTGTGTGCGCGCGCGTGTGTTTTGTGCTTGTGTGCTTATTAGAGTATTTATGAAGATTAAGTAATTCTTCCTTTTCTGTCTGACTTCAGGACAAGGATAATGATTGCACTCCACATTTCTTGGCCACGTTTCAACAATTGAACTGATTATTTTTCGCATATTCTATTTTCATCTATCACCCAGTGTCGCGGTAATCTTTTTTGTGTTGTTTTGATTTACTCTGAAATGGTGTCTTAATAAATTTCTATAAAATAATCTAAATTGTTTTGCTGATGTCAGTGTTGATAAAAATATCGATAACTATATGTAAAAAAAGAAATAATATTAATTAAAAATATTCATAAAAAGATGTTTCGTCATTATATTTATAATAACCTATATTTTTTACATTAAAAATAACAGCATTTTATTTAAAACATTATTATTGCATTTGTTTTAAACATGATTCAAGTTTTCTAGTGTGAAAATTATTTTGCTGTTAGCGTTTGGAATTTATCAATTAAGTAATCAATTATACATTCCTAAACATAATGTAGTTTGAATTAAGCAAGAAAGTTTATTAGCGCGTTGCTTTTGGCCACCTCCACATGTATTCCTATATGACAAAATTTTTAAATTATACGTAATATGCAGATATAATGAATGTTCGTATGAAACTCTATAAACTATTTTTATCAAATATTTCTATGGAATATTTAAATTCACTTTTTATTTTTTATAGTGTGGTTCTCTGAGTTTTCGTGTGAATTTTTTTTTTAATTTGCATGCAAATGTCGGACACTGTTTTGATTGGTCTGTCGATGCCAAGAAATTAAACATTAAAAAAAGACGTTGTTTTATTTTTTTTCTTTTTCATTTCTTTTTTCCATTTTACCTTCTTTCAAGTCTGTAGTTTATCGCTGTCGTTTGTTTGAGGATTTTTTTTATCATTTTTTTAATCATTAAAAAACATAATTAATCCACTCTCTCTCTCTCTCTCTCTCTCTCTCTCTCTCTCTCACACACACACACACACACACACACACACACACACTTTCTCTCTCTATTTTTCACTCGTTTTAATTTCTTTTACGATTTTTCTCGTAAGTTTCTGATATATTTTTTAGTAAAAAATCATGTATTTTTTTTCAAATTATTTTTGTTTTGTAAATGACACTTTTCTTATTAAAAAAAAAAACAAAACAAGAAAACTCATACTACATAAAAATCAATAGCTCATTTCTTCTCACTCACGCTATACATCCCCTCTCTGTAATTATCTTTCAATCTATCACTATTTTTACTCATTCGTTCAGTAACACACTCATTCAGCTATACATTCACTTCGTCTTTCTTTCTTTCCGTTTTTCTTTCTTTTTCACACCGACACCAACACGCACACATACATACACATATTCATATATTGATTTCGTTCTTTCTCAACTTTTTGTCTAAAAAATGTATTCTACTCACTCTCGCCATTTTTCTTTCGTTCGTTCTTTCTAAATCACTTTGTAATTTTCATTGTTTCGTATTGTTCATTGTTTGTATATTTTTTCTTACATTTCCTTCCTTCCTTCTTTGTCTTTCATTGAAGTCTTTATAGCAAAAGTAAATGAGGGAGTGTGGGGGGTATTTCTTTTCTTTTCTTTTTTTTCTTTTCTTTTCTCTTTCTCTCTCTCTCTCTTTTTTTTTTTTTTTTTATTAATTATTAAGATTCAGGATCACTGTAGTCTACGTGTAGATAATCACCGCTAAACTCCTGTTTATAATCCGGTTTATAATCGTATTCAAAATCCCGAGTCGTCCCGGTAGCCCTCGGGGATTTCCGTACCTCCCGAAGTTGAATGACGCCATTCGGAGACTCAACATGTGTCTCCGAGTGAGCTGTTGGGTTATGCGCTCTAGTGGATTTGCACTTAGAACAATGTCTCTTAAAACGTGGTTTCTGTGAGCCGTGACAGCGAACAGCGAAGCGTAGTTCATCTGCCATTTCAGCACATACAGATTGCTGTAAAATAGAGAAAGAGAAGAAGAGAAAAAATAAAAAAAATGCTTTAAAAAAAAGGAGATGATTTAAAAAAACGTATCGTTAACTTTTTCTGTTGTTGGTATTTTTGGTAGAAAAAACAGTCAATAACAAGGAAAACAAGCAATATGCAAGAATTAAATTAAAAAAACCCAAAACAAAGCAAGCAACAAGAAAGACAACAAAAAGAATAGCATAGCATATATATATATATATATATATATATATATATATATATATATATATATATATAGTGTATTTGGGTAGCAATTCCTCTTTTATACATGTTTCGTTAAAAAGCATCTGAGAAGGTACTTACCTGCGATTAATCATTTTATTTAATTTTTCTTTAGTTCATACAGGTGTTTTCTTTTCTGAACACAAAGTACGTAAAAAATTTCCAAACTGCTGCATATCCGAGCGCTTTCGGCTATTCTTTTAGGCATTATCAAGGGTGATTTTTATTTTTAACTGAATGCGTGTGTGTGCGTGTGTGCAGTTATAAGAATGTTTAATTTTCCAAACACGGTCAGCACATTGTGGCAGTGTTCATAGTTAATGATATTGCGTGTTGGCCTTTCCTTTTTTTATTATTAGGGCTTCCATTAAATGATAATGGACAGTTTTTACACATATTTTTTTTTTGCCCAGAAAACAAAACACTTGTACGAACACAAGGAAAATAAAATAAAAAGCCTAATCGCAGTACCTTGTCAGTCGCCTTTAAAGAAACATGTTATATATATATATATATATATATATATATATATATATATATATATATATATATATATATATAGGTATAAACATAGATACACATAAGCAACGTCATAGAACAGAACTGAAAATGAATACATATAATTTTACAAAAGTATTGTATATGCATTAACACAACATACTGATAAAAATATCTATACATATGCATTTAATTTTGAATGCGTATAAATATACATACATTCACACTTTTTTATATATATATATATATATATATATATATATATATATATATATATATATATATATATATATATATATATGGCAAAACAATAACTATTCTTTACCAACTCATTTCGTCCACTAATGCACTTTATCAAGTCAAATTTCGTTTGCCCCTGACAAAGTTTAGTAGAGGACGAAATACGTTGATAAAGAATAGTTTTCCTTTGTCTTTATTTTGTCGTCAGTATATATATATATATATATATATATATATATATATATATATATATATATATAAACATACATACACGCTAGAGTAGGCGATGAAAGATCTCAGTTTGACATTATTTGTCAAGATCTTGTAAGACCTTCTGATGTTTGATCATTAGAGTCAAATAGTCAGAGACTTTTTTAAAATGTCGGAACTTTCATTTTTCAGCACCCTTCACACACACATATATATATATATATATATATATATATATATATATATATATATATATATATATATATGTTTGTAAGACCACCCAAATATTGGCCTGACTTAAATTAGCCTTTATCTAATCGAAAACCCAATCCCATTCTAAACAGTTAATATATTAATGAGCGTAAACTACTTATTCATACAGTACCAATTTTAAACAAGTCTTTAACGTTTCTTATATTTTCTCCTTGATTTCTGTTTAATCTTAGGTTTCTGAAGACAATAATCATTGAATCTTTCATACAGTCTGCTTAGTCTGGTTCATTACATAAATGGTTTTAATAATATATATATATATATATATATATATATATATATATATATATATATATATATATATATATATATATATATATATATATATATATATATATATATATATATATAAAATATTTTATAAATGCGTTACTGATTTTCAGCTATAGTTAGTAAAGTCACTTAATCAGCCGAAAATATGCATTTTTGTATATATATTGCTGAATGATTTTTGCCTAGATCTTGCATTAAATTAGATTAAATTTTTAAAAATTCAATAAATTTCAATATCACTGTCTCTTGGGTATGTTTTTACTTAAAATATATGGAAAAGCTTTAAAATAAAAGCAATCATTTCACTCGCCTTTCCTGAAGTACATTTCAGTAAAAACAAGATGAAGATATTATTATCAAATGTTGTAATTAATATCAACAACACAAAATTCAGAATAGAGAAAATGGCACCAAGACCTCATGAATAAATTGCCATATATGATTTAATAATTTACTATAACTGAAAGTAATTATATTTATTTTTTAATGGCAGCGTAAGTAGGGTCTATGGCGACTATTTGAAAAATATACATTTCGCTGAATGCTTTATCTTATATACTTTGAGGTTCATCGAAATGAGTGCCACTCGCATCAAAGTTTATCACATGCAACCACATCGCCCAACCCTAATTACGCTACTGCTTTATTATTATTTTTCTTTCACTTTATAAAATTATTGAAATATGTTGTATTCTTCTGCATATGCATTTAATAATGCGAACATATTCGACAGTCCTCTTGCTTTCACCTTCGGTAGAACCCGTAACGCATCGCGAAAAGTCCGTGAAGCGTGAATGCCAAAGGAGGGTGGTCTTACTGGCAAAGCGAAGCGACAATGAAAAGGGCAAATTAGGACAATGCAACAATCGGTAAGGTCAAAAGTAAAGAAAACGAAAGAATGAACAAAGGGCAAACATAGTCAAAGACATAATAATAATAATAATAATAATAATAATAATAATAGTTGTTGTTAGTGTAGTCTCAATGATAATAATATTTGTTGGCATAATACTTTCTCAATAATAATAATAATAATAATAACAATAATAATTGTTGTTAGCGTACTCCTTTCTCACTATTAATAATAGTAGTAATAAGAATTGTAGATATACTACTGTCTCTCTCAATAATAATAATAATAATAATAATAATAATTGTCGTTAGCTTACTGTTGTCTCAATAATAATAATAATTGCTGATGTACTACTGGTCTCAGTCAATAATAATATTCTTATTATTGTTGCTATTAGTGATCTACTGTCTCAATAATAATAATAATAATAATAATAATAATTGTTGTTCGTGTACTGCTCTCTCACTACTAATATTAATAATAGTAATAATAGTTATATTACTGTCTCACTCGATAATAATAATAATGATAATTAGAATTATTATTATTTTTTGTGTCATGTTGTCTCATGATAATAATAATAATAATAATAATAATTTTATTATTGTTGTTGTTAACGTACTGCTGTCTCAATAATAATAATAATAATAATAATTATTGTTATAG